AAAAACAAAAAGAATCAGTCTGCCAAACACCAAAGATTAACTATATGACTTACACTAAACTTCTGGTAACAAATTCTCCGATCATCTTTAACGGTTTCCGGGCCGGAAAGCAATCTGAAAAATAATTACCGCCCAATTATTAATTGAAATATCGATAATAATCCTACAAACACACAATAAATTCTAGGAAAAATACAGGGATTTGAAATCAACCTGTAATTAATGAACTGATCTGCTTCTTGAAAGATCAAACGGCTGAAGAGGCAACCATTTGATGGATTCAAGAAGCTGCGTTTCAGATGAAAACACGCACACGCACACGCACACGCACACAAAGAAATACAAATTACAATCAAGAAAACCAAGAAAATAATGGTTTAATAGAGGCATTAAGAGGAATTTAAGTTTATTATAATTACCTTAATGCAGAAGGAAGGATCTTTGAATTCTGGGATATTTTGGGAAATGAAATAAAACTCGAGAAACTTGAGATGGGAGAAATGGAAGGAGTTGTGTATAAGAATTTATGACGAACGTGCGTGAGTGTTTGTATTTATATTGGCAGCGATTAGGAGTTGAATAAAGTAAAAAAAAAAAAAAAATCAGTTTAAAATTCTGGGATTTGGATTTCTTGCTACAGACGCCTTCGCATTATTTTACACGTAATTCAAGTGTAGTGGTTATCTGGAGACTTGGAATTCTTCATATTGGTTTACCGGTTTGACAGTTATTTTTCATTTTGATAAGTGTATTTTTGTTATTACACTGCAATTTTTCCATTTTGGAAGTAATGAATGAGTCAAAGCTATTGTTTCAATTAAAATCTATATTTTAATTTAACTCAAAATTAATAATTAATTTTAAACACATATTTCATAAATCCTTTAACTTTTTAATTACACATTTTATCGATTTTTATCAAAATTTACTAAAAACCTAATTTTAATCCCCACCAAATGGGGAGTTAACTATATTCTAGCTACAATTTTTGTTTATTGCATCCAAGGATGTCAACGAGTAGAGTTAAGCCAACTCACGAATCGAAGTTCTAAGCTCGGGCTCGGCTCGACTTGGATTTTGTTTGGTGTATTTTTATTATTTTTTTAATAAAAAGGCAGCCAATTAGTTGCTGCCAAACAAGGCAGCGTATTGCCGCCATTAATTTGATTATTATTATTATTATTATTATTATTATTATTATTATTATTATTATTATTATTATTATTTTATAATATATGCTTGGTTCTCTCGAGCCGACGAGCCACACGGGTCGGCTCGGACTTTGTTCGGCACCTAAAAAAGGGGCTCGGCCCGAGCTTCGGCTCAATTCTCCCGAGCCTTGAGTCGGGCGAACTCAAGCTTTTTTCGAGTCGAGCCGACGAGCCCAATTGCCATATCTAATTACACCATATTCTAATTTTATTAAGGGTCTTCAGTTTTTGCTAATAATTTTCATTTACGTTCTCAACTTCGTTCATTACATTTTTATAATTAAAATTCCATTAAGTTGTACATCATATTGTCGATGACAATCTTTTTAAGTCATTTGAACAAATTTTTTGGACAGAAATCATCATTAGAAACAATATCGGTTAATTAATGAAAGATTGAATGTAAAAATATGGCTAACAAAAGTTCAAAACAAAACTGTAATAATGAGCTTAGGCTTAGAACTTTCAATGTAATTAAAACTAAAAAGTAAAATGCAAATGAAACTACCCAAAATAATGACATGTGACACTTGTCATGTCCCTTATTTGCTAGGATTTTCATACTTTCTCTTATTGTTATTGTCTTTTAAGTTTCAACCCTCAATTGTAAAGGAATAGATTGTGATGACGTCTCTTCACTATTGCAAATGCCCTTTTCAAAATATTGAGAGGTGGGATAAGAAAAAATGGATTTTTCATAATGAAATTGAAATGTTCTAGAATAGAATACCCCAAGTTTGACCTTAGTATTGGCCAATAACATTCTTCGGGCAGTAACTAGTAAGGAAGGTTCCATCTAGTATTAAATTAATTTTTATTTCAACTAGAGTTTAGAAATGTAAATTTTCCGCTGCAATTATTGAAGCATTCAAATATTAAAACTCGTTTGGTTGACCATAAATGGATTCTTCTTCTTGCTATAATTTTAATTTATTTGCCTTTCAAAGGTAAATAAACGTGTGCACGTTGAAACTCCATTGATAATTACATTAATCAGGACATTGAAAAAAGATTATTTTAAGAATATTTGAATAATCTACGTTCACGCATTTGACCTATAAGCCACTATTTGATCTTATTTTTAAAATTTATTTTCTACGACACCTCTCATGAGATTCATCATTTTTATCAACTTTTTGATAATATATTTTGTCAACATTTTTAACATTTTCAATACCTATAATATAAATTTGCATTTCAATTTTAAAGTATATGTTAGATATTTATACAATATATATACTATGTGAAAGAAGGAAATAATTTAAATGAAGTGTTCAATTGGTGGGAGGTGTGGAATTTGTGCAAAAGGTCGGAGTTTGGGTCACATCCCATTCGATAATCAAAAAGTCTTTGATTAGATTTTTGGACTTCCTTTATTAAAATATTTTTTATTTTTTAATAAATTTTGAAATTATTTAATGAGTCAAACTAACCAGTATAATATAATCGTTTTTCAATAACCCATTACCCACAAGCCATTAAAAATTGTTAATATTTCTGGATCATAACGGAGAGTGTTATATCTATTCCGCCCATATAAATACAGATCTGATTTTGAAAAAATTACATAAAAAAATGAAATCATCATTTTTATATTTTGTAATTTTTCATACTTGAGTTCCATATATATATATTTTCCAAAGTACACTTGAGAGTTCTTAAATTATTCATAATTGCCATACAAATGGTTTGTTTGATCGTTGTATTATGTGAGTGATTGTTCACATAGGTCGTAGTAATTAACAACAGATAATTTCACTTTAGAGTATCGTACTATCGCGAAACTCGATCAGTCAACAAGTATTATTTTTTGCATTTTACTGTTCTGCAAGTTATTGTAACTAATTATTTTTCCAACAGTGTAATCACTCTTCATTCAATCCAAAAGGCACAAGGAAACAACTAATCTATTTTTCAAAAAAATAAAAGGGTTTAATATTCCGTTTTAAAACAAATAGCACGAAAGTAACACCCTTGTTATCTTACGTTTTGCATGTTCAATGACAATGTACAGGTATTATTTTTTAATTCTTCTATTTGATATATAATATTGAGTGTGTTATATTTATTTGCTGAATAAAAAAAATAAGAAAAGACCAAAATTTTATGGTACAACTACTACCGTCTACCGCTTCAAGTACATTAATTCACCATTACAATTAGTGTACTCAACCTTTAGCACCAGATCACACTGGATTATGATTATTTTTATTTATTTTTCATAAATAAAAAAAAACATAAATAATTTTTGACACTGATGTTGAACAAGAATAAAATAGGGAGGAGTTTAATAAATGTTGAATATACACTTTTTGAAATATCTGCCCCATTTTATAATGTTAACTTTGTGGATGATAATACTCGTAACGATTTTGCTGGCTGTACAGGCCCTATGAACACAGAGTCTGTATAGGCCAGACTGAATACAAGGGGGTAGGTAATTTTTTTTTTTTAAAAATAATCCCCCACCCCCTCACACAGCATGTGAGGGGGCCTGTACAGGCCCTGTGAACGCAGGGCCTGTACATTAGGCTTTTTTCTACTTGTAAAGTAGTGATTGTCACATGGAGTAGTTATGTTAGGTAAACCTTAAACCAAATAATGGCATCGAGTGATTGGAATAAGTAAGTTTGTTTTGTTTAAAATACTTTGGTCAATATCATATAGCTCTATTCAAAGTCATTGCAAAATAAAGCATAAACAACTGGATTACGAAATAGTAACCCCCGCAAAAGGACGATTAATTTGTTAGAATCTGTTAAAAGGATATCGTAAATTATGCAAAGAACTAATTCTATTAATTCGATGCCAAGAGGGACAAGTCATGTCGTGATCCACCAAACTATATATTTATGGAGCTACTGAAACTTCATTGGGTCTTTAGATTTAGGTAAAATATATCGACTGTCTGTTAAAAACACAAATATTTTAAAATAATATGTTTTCGTAGCAAGCGATTGAAATTCGAAAGTTATCTTCTCATCATAAACATGTTATTGCATCATTGTCAGGGAGGACATCAAGCCTAGATGTGGAATCTATTTGTTGTTTTATTTATAACATTTTCAGATGAAATAATTAATAAAAATGTTAAAAAAAATTTCTCCCCCCCCCCCCCCACCCCCCCAAAAAAAAAATTTATTGGTCTTTTTTTGTGGAATTTACACCCAATACATTCTTTTTAATACATATTCATATTTTACTATAAAATATTTTTTATACCTAAAATACTACATTTTATTATATAGTAAAAATGGTAACTAAAAAACTTACACCTCTCATCATTAGTTTATTCAAGGGCTATAATCTCTCCGATTACGGCACATCACTCCCAGTTTTATTGCCAAAATCCCTAAATCATAGCATTACTCTTTGAAGAAAATGCCCAAAATTAGTCTCCTTAAATCGATTTCCTCCATTTCATCACGTTTATAGCTTTCTTCATCCTCGAATCCTATTTTTATTTCATAAATCGTGACAAGAAATTGAAATCCATACTGAAATTTTGCGTTTCATGATTTTTTTTTTTTATGGATACGTAATTTCTAATAGTGGTGACAACACTTAGAGTCCTGACTGAAAATTCTTTTGGCAAAACAAGTTAAGCTACAATCAATGTAAGATTATATATCCATCCAAATAAGATCAGTCGAAATTCAATAATGGACCTCAGTCAACTTTTCAAGCAATGGTTAGTTTGCATTGATACTCTCCCAATTTTGCTAAGTTCATTGCACCCCCTTACAAACGACTCGAATGAATTTGAAGAAGATAGCATTAGTCCTCAAACAACCAATTTTACTGAGGTCTTCAGTATTAATAGAAATTAAGCAAGGTGAGTTGAGGAATAAAGCTGGGAGAAGTTCTTCCAAATAATTGAAGGAAACTGAATTCAAATTGTACAAAATCTCTCTTTTAACAACAAACTTGGGTGTGTCACAAATGATAGAAGATTTTCAAGTATCAGAATGTTGATTATTGGTAAAATCAACGAATTATAACAGCAAGAAAAATATTAGCTCATGCAGCACATCATCATGCACTTCAAGAGCAGTTGGATCTTCTTTGGATGTATTAAGTGTTTCATCAAATTGCTACAGCCTCTTCTGCACATAAAAGAATTACTAATCTAAGCTTACTAATCTAATATAACTGTCATCCAGAAAAAGCAGGTTCAGCAAATTTAGCCTGGCTGGAATTGCATATTTGTCTGTTTCACAATTGTCGTGTACTACAATGTATCACTAGTCAAAACACCACTATAAATGAAACAACAAAATTGTTGTGGTGAAAGCTCATTAGATCTGAATTTGGTGCAAAATAAGTTTTGCTAAAAGCTGGTTAATAGATAGTGGCCGGGGAGAGGGAGTAAAAGAGAGATCAAT